ATGTGAAAGGGTTCAAAGTCTTGTTTCTTGTTAAGATTCTGATAAAACATGTCCAAAAGGTGCTGTTGGTTTTCAATTATGGTAACAATATAGGAGAATGTCTTATCAAAAGTTAACACTAGCCCAAGCAAAATCACCACATTGTGGCATCCATGATCTTTTACAGTTCACTGGATTACTGTACATATTACATTCAAACATTTATCATGATGATACAGATTTCACAAGGGACATGCCTGCAACCTCCATCCCCTCATTTCGTGTACATTATAACATTCATGTTGCCTTTGATAAAAGGATTCTTAGTTGCCAAGGAGATTTCCTTGTCGCATGTTTGACAATACAGACAACTTAACTGCTAATTTCATCTTAAATTAATTCTTACAGAGACCTCCTTGACCTGTATTAGTTGCCTTTGAACATGAAAAAGCTTTTACGATGTCAGTATCAGGAGGCACTGTCTTCTGTGGGATGTTGATTTCACACATGGCTGCTCTTTGAGGAGTGCTTTATGGACCTTTGACAGACATCTGAGTGACACACTGACACTCATTTCACAATATGGAACAAGTATACAAGGAAAACACACAGAGTCAATACAACAGAATTATCCGAACTAGTCCACTGGGACTGAGCATACAGGAAAAACTGTGCTGGTCAATACAACTGACCAATCAGTGCAAGGGCTGACATTACCTGCGAGGACAGGTCAGCAGCGTGAGAAGGGCCAGGTTGACTCATGGGGGATAGTTGACCCTCACAAAGGAGAGATATACAGGGAGATTTGGAGGGTCAGTGGTAAACAGATCCATTGCTGGCCCGGAATTCTTCTCGTCCTTGTTCTGACAATAGAAAGACAACAATACCAAACAGTCAAAAATCGTGGTTTTATTTCCAGCCAATAAGTTTAAACAAAGCTAGGTGCTGCATAGCTTGAGGAGCTTGCTCTTGTGGACCAGGGTGTGGAATCTTCGCAGACATCAAACAATGAGCTGTGTGCTGGTGTGAAAAGAATTAGAATTGCTTCATTTGGTTTAAGCACTTTGTGCCATGTGGATTGTTTTGGGATCTGTAGCTACTTATCTGTAAGCTCTCACCTGAAAATAGTCTCAGTAAATACATTATGGCCATGGGTGTAATTCTGTAGGCAATTACACTGTTGTGGGTGGTTGTACAAGAAATCCCTGTCTTGAACAGTGGAAGTTTTTTTGGTTCATGACGTAAGTTGGTATCATACTTTGATAGTGTTCAGAATTAAGGGGTCATTGGGTCTGTCAGGTTTCCTTCTATAGTATTTTAACAAGAAAACCTGTGATTCTTATATTTCACCTCAGGCTTCCTACATCCCTGACTTGTTTCCAACATGGCTGGAGACTGATCATATTCTCTCCTCCTTAATTGATGTGGTTGAAATGAGTCTTAAACTGTATGTTTATTGTTACACTTCTTCAAGAAACAATTAGAGAGGTGTTGGTGATGGTATAGACCCTTGCCCCACACAGCAGTCGCAGAGTCATGTGTTCCGTGTACATGTCCATAGAAGATTGTTCCACAGTCAAGAGGGTAATTAACCTGCTAGAAAGAGCCTACTTTGAACATATGACCTTTTTCAGTCAGCAGGCTTGCAACTCAATTTTCTAATCATTTGCCTGATCAGCTGTTATAACAGGAGAATATTAGATGTACAGACTTGCGTAAGCAATCTGCCTATTTTGAGGTATGCTTGAGGCAAGTGAGAAGTTCTTATAGTTCCATTTTGTTATTTACATGTTTTCATTGGGTGAGGCGATTAAAATCTATTTTGCTTACATTTATTGTTGCTAAAGAACACGGGGGCGGTGGGGTAGCCTAGTGGTTAAAGCGTTGGCTCATCACGCCGAAGACCCGGGTTCGAATCCCCACATGGGTCCACCGCCGTGATGTTGCTGGAATATTGCTAAAAGCGGCGTAAAACCAAACTCAGGCAATCAGTCAGTGCTAAAGAACACCCAACTTAAGCATTTTGAGGAAAACTTTTAAGGTCTCTGTCATCTTTTCCTGTCTAATGTGGTAGATAATTTCCAAGAAGTTTTCACAATGAGTCTACAGTAACTGAAGCCATGATACACCTCTCACATGATGACAGAACCATTGCAGCTGACTGACTGAACTTAATATAGGCTTCAGGTAATACTCTAGTAATGGATATATTGTCAGATTGGCTGGAAAATCTGTCATCAGTAGTCTGGCTCCTATAATTTTATCACAGGACTGAAATACTGAAGGTCTATAGGCCAACAGTTAATGTGGTTAGCAGTAAGGAAACTATTGTATTGCTTTCGTGGCTCCCAAGCCTGTAGTTCTGACAGATGTGTGAAGAGAACATTTTAGGCTTTTGGTAATATAGCTGACTGTAGGCTTACCCTGCCCCTTGACTTATTGCATATCGTGCAACAGTACCCTGACATTGGTAGTAGATCCTCTGCAGAATGAGCTCCCTGTCGCACTGTAGCACCTGTAGAAAGATAAAACAGTATTTACGATGTTTGCGGACTGCGCTACTTATAGAACTGTTGACATATGTTGTTACGTGTGGGGGAAACAAATATCATGTTTCACTCATGATTTGCACTATACATGAAGTAGCTACGGACTTGACTTAAGAGGTGTGCAGAGTCAAGACATTGACTTCAAGTTGTCTTCTTTTTTTTTGCTTAATATATTTATTTCATCGGGGGTGAAAATTTTATAATTCTTTAATGGAGAATTCATGAGAATCTGTTAATTCTAATTTCCATACTTAAACTAAGTTGTGGCTGATATACATACAATTTCTCAGATTTCTCAATTACTAAACTCTATTACATTGAGTTTTGTCAGCTCTACCAGTTTCAAAATACATGTCTAGAATGACAAGTGATTTTCTGGCTCAAAATCAACTTCTACAGCAATTTTCATGAAAGTTTGAATATGCCAGTTCTCATTTTATGCATTGGGTAAATTAAGTCTTGTGACTGAGTAAATATGGGGTATGGATGTCAAATTGTTTAGAGAAGTTTAAACTGGAATATCTGTTACATGTGGATGGAAGCCAGTGTTACAGAGGTCTCGTACAGGTATCATCACTGATCACTGGTATTAGAGTATTAGCTTCTGGCCGATGTTTGTGTTTGATGTGTAGAAATTGGGTGAAGATTGCCAGTATTTGATCTTATTATTCCCAGCACATCTAAGCAGAGATTCGGCGCAGGCTTTTAATCTCCACTGACATTAATCCGTAGATGAGCATTCAGTAAATATTAGTTTTAGATGCATACGCTGTTGTAATGGAAGAAGGTAAATATCAAGATTCCTGCATCCATTTTTATCACCAGACCTCCAGTACTAGTTGGCTCCCTGGGACGTTTGCGTGGGAATACATCTGATGCATAAATTGGACGTTGTTGGTGGGAGAGGGAGGGAAATGAAGGAGAAAAACAGTTTTTTCAGAAAGGGAAACAACTCTTGATGGACTACTTGTCAATCATGTCCTGAGGATCAATGGCTGTGTGGTAGAGCACATGTCTTTGTTCAATGTTTATAGTGGGAGTACATTGACGGTTGAAGGATTGCATGTTTGTGATGTTGCAACATTTCTTCAACGGATGTTATTGGATTGTTTCAGTTGTGACCATCCTTGATTATCCAGTAAAATACAGGGATGAGGATTTTCAGAGGATTTGATCGCCCTAGGGTCATTCTTTTGAATCGTCTGAATCCAAGGAGAAAGACCCCCTAGCTCATTTTCCTCTTCTTTTTTTAACTCATTACCATTCTCATCCCTTATAATATATCATATTCAGTTAAGAGAAAAACCCAGACCTATTCACCACCATTGTCTTGTCCAGTTTATCATGTTAACCATAACCTACCAATCAAATTACGATTGGCGATGGGGTAGCCTAGTGGTTAAAGCGTTCGCTCGTCACGCCGAAGACCGGGTTCGAATTCCCACATGGGTACATTGTGTGAAGCTCATTTCTGGTGTCCCCCCACCGTGGTATTGCTGGAATATTGCTAAAAGCAGCGTAAAACCAAACTCACTCACTCACGATGGGTGTTTAATGACAAGTGCTTGTCTTGCTGCCAGCAGCTGGGCTGGCCTAGAAACATTCAACCATGCCTGTCCATATTTTGAGGATTTGTAAAACATTATTCCCTTGGTGATGCCTCATTAATTACATGTTTTAAAATCAAGAATATCAAAGGCATGCAGTAATGAATGTTGATATATACCAATTTTCATTCAGAATCATTTTGATTGGTTAATGGTAAATAGGTGATGGAGTAAGAGGTCTCAGATAGATCCAGGGTATTTGTGAATGGAGATATAATACACTAGAGGATTTCTGTTTCGTGACTTATGTATCAGAGAGCATTGAGAATAGTTGTCACTTCATCTGAATGTTGAATTTACATCGTGCAAATATATTGAGTGGATTGAGCTGGATTCTCTTTGTTTACCCTTGATGCATCACCGTGCAGTATTCACACATGTTCTGAGATGTCAAAGAGCTTCAGTATTGTTGTCAATCTTAACTGTCACTTTCATCCAATGGAGAGTGTTCTGATAGTGGAGAGTATTCTGATAGTGCCCCTGAAAGCAGATGTTGATGGTTCGAGCCCAGGCCTTGTCAAATCTAAAGATGTATAATAATGGTACTTCTTGCCCTTCCTGTCATAGGGTAACAAGGACCAGATCAGAGTCACTACACTGAGGCTGTGTGGGGCTTCCATTTTAAACTGTCTCATGGCATCCACATACTCACCAGCATGCATTTTCTATGAAAGCGTCTTTGTGCAATAAGTGCAGTCATCATGGAGGTGACTCAAAACCCCATTTTCCCTCACCTCTGATAGTGGAAATCAATAGGACTGCTTATGAAAGTTTGTGATGAAACATATGAATGTTTGCTATTCATCAAGAAATATGCAGTCAAAATTGTGGCAACACAATAAGTATTTTTTTTCTCTCTTTGCAGCATGTCCGCACTCCACCAAGCGGCACTTATGGGCAACACTGATGTCATACAGTTACTGGTGGATAGCGGGGCCTCCACTGAACTCCGGGACAACAAAGGTAACACTACTGAACTCAAACATCACTATTACTTTACTCCAAGACATGAAAGGTAACACTATCTAAACTCAAACATCATCATCACTAAGATCTTACTCTGTGACAATAAAAGTGACACTTACTGAACTCAAACATGACCATCACTAAGATCTTACTCTGTGACAATAAAGGTAACACTAACTGAACTCAAACATCACCATCACTAAGATCTTACTCTGTGACAATAAAGGTAATACTAACTGAACTCAAACATCACCATCACTAAGATCTTACTCTGTGACAATAAAGGTAGCACTAACTGAACTCAAACATCACCATCACTAAGATCTTACTCTGACAATAAAGGTAGCACTAACTGAACTCAAACATCACCATCACTAAGATCTTACTCTGTGACAATAAAGGTAGCACTAACTGAACTCAAACATCACCATCACTAAGATCTTACTCTGTGACAATAAAGGTAGCACTAACTGAACTCAAACATCACCATCACTAAGATCTTACTCTGACAATAAAGGTAGCACTAACTGAACTCAAACATCACCATCACTAAGATCTTACTCTGTGACAATAAAGGTAGCACTAACTGAACTCAAACATCACCATCACTAAGATCTTACTCTGTGACAATAATCAGTAGCTGAGCTAAAAAATTAATGGTTCCAATTATGTTACAAATTGATTTCATCATAATTGAACAAAAAAACTTTGATGAAGGTAAATCATTACCTCACTGTCCTATTTGTTTGGATTGCTTGTGCCACCAAGTCTCAAATCTTTATGTTGTTACTGTCTCCATATGCTAGTGCTGACACATGTCTCACTCCAGAGGTATGAAGAATTTCCCCTCTGGCCAGTGAGTATTATCTTGTCTCATGATCTGACCTCATTAAAAGAGGTTGGATAAATTAGTATCTGTCCCTGAGGAACAGTGATTTTTCAGAGTGATTATTGTTGCACAAGAAAACATGGGACATGGGACATGCCACTGTATCTGAAAGTGTCCGAGGATTTTATGGTTTATGGTTAGACCATATCAGCAAGAATTGCCTCCCTTTGATTAAAGGCACCTGTAGTCATGTAATCTGAAGAATATAGTCTTGCTACCATCGTAGTACACACACACCCAGTCTAAACATGCCTCATTTTACAGGATGTCAGTAATTTAAAAACTTATGCTTCATTAGATCAGAACCAATCAGTATTAGACAATATTATAGCCTTTGGCATATAATCGGGATTATTTGCCTTCCAAGTTGTTATGAATATATCATTTAAATATGAGTGGTGGAAGTACCTTGATCGGTAATAGTGCGAGCAGTGACTCACATGTGGGGGCGAGGGAAGGTTTGATGTCATATCTGTGTCCAGATAGGCACTTCCTGTACCACAGATTAATGGGAGGTTACTGAAGTTTGTGCATGAGGAGGAGAAAAAAAATCTCATTCAGTAGATATAATTCCTCATATTTCTGACAGGCAACTCCAAATCTTTCTTGCAATTTCCTTTTTAGGTTTACATGATTGTGCGATATTGTAGGGCAAGGTTTATCATTGTGGAAGTTGGGATATAAATTGAAATAATTTTGTATATGTGGCAAAATGGTTAATTAAGTCTTGATGTTCAATTTGTTTGTATGATATGATGTGATAAAGCTGCTGTCATCAGACATTTGAGATGGCCTCCTGCTATGGTTGTAGATTAAGATAATATCAATTAAGCTAAAATAAATAGATTTTCTGGAAAAAGATTTCTTGCTAAGTACACATGGTGCTTCATTCAGTCCATTTTTACAATAAAAATAGATCTGAAACACAAACTGGCATGTGGAGTTTCACAATCTGTTTGAAATCCTAAACAATTTGTTGATCAGAGCTATTCTGTTGACACCACTGTGTTTTGTCAGTATCGAGTTGTAATACTTACCATGTGAAAACATACATCATTTGGTTGTTTGAGGTAGTTGTCACAGCAGCAGTATGTATTAAAGTAGAGTCAGCCATGTTCTTTTGGTTAAACGAGGTTATTAATTTTTGGTCCTGAAATCAGAAAAAATAGAACTGCCACTTTCAACAAAATAGAAGTACTGTAGTCGATGAAAGGGCACTAGACGCTTCTTTTAGCTGAAATTTCTCATGATTGTGGATGTGTTTCTGTTGCTCTTATTCAGTTAGATAAATCAGTAGGGTGACCAGGGTGCCGTTGTACAAACAATTTTAGCACCAAATCGATTGTAAGTCCCATACCTTACGTCTTACGACATAACATAGACCTACGACAGTCTTATCGCTAAGGTTGTTTTGAACAATGGCACCCAGATGGACCTCTATGAATGTGTTAGGGTGTTTATGTCAGATAACTGAACATTGAAATTATAGCTCTTAATAATATGTGGGGCGGTGGGGTAGCCTAGTGGTTAAAGCGTTCGCTCGTCACGCTGAAGACCCGGGTTCGAATCCCCACGTGGGTACATCGTGTGAAGCTCATTTCTGGTGTCCCCTGCCGTGATATTGCTGGAATATTGCTAAAAGCGGCGTAAAACCAAACTCACTCACTCACTCACTCTTAATAATATGTTTAGGTTGGGGGTTTATTTGAGACTGATGAATGTTACAGGTTTGTTCAAGCAACTCATTATTGGGAAATGAAGACCGAGGTTGGATAAGAATTGTTTTGGAAGTCACAGGATCTGCTTAATGTAAAGAAGCACTAGGCTTGGCTAATTGTCTTAGCAAATTTGATTCACATAACTTGAATAAGAGTTTTCTGTCTGATAGTTAGGTGCTGTTGATTGTGTTGACAGGCATGATTCCCCTTCACTATGCAACATGGCAAGGGAAGTCTCAGCCAGTCCACATCCTGCTACAGAAAGGGTCTCCAGTCAACCTGCAGGCAGAGAACGGGGAGTCCCCTCTCAGTCTGGCTTGTCAGCATGGCCATGTCGATGTGGTGAGTACTTATAGTGATGATTTACATAGAACAGGATCCTAGTACCTGTAATTAGAAGACTGCACTGAGCTGGATGGTAGGACAGTGACTGGGATGATAACATCACCACAACAACCAGGAATAATATCAACCACCAGTTTAATAGGCCCAGGTATACTGGTCTTCCACAGTATTACTGTAGCAAACAGGTTTCACTCACTAACTCATAGGACTAGACATCCTCTGCAACCATTGTGAACATCGGGTCCCATGTATGAAGGACATGACGATCTCTATGAAGATGATTGGTTGGTGTTCAGGTGAATGAGCATTGAAGGATATGGATTGTGGGGACTATGATGATAGCATCCCATTGGGTCCCTATGAATGATGGACACAGTATCTCTACAAAGATGATTGGTTTACATGTGAAGGTGCATGAGGAGTGATGGATATGGATCAAGGGAATTCTGGAGAAGAATGTGTCCCACGTGTTCCAAACTTGCCCTAACAGCTGACTCTTGATGACAGTGTTGAACAATCATTGTTCCACAAATCTTTGTGCAGTGTGTAAATTTAAGAAGTTGGTCACTGGCATGCAGATTTTTCCATCATGATTGCAAAGTCACTGTAGCAAAATATAAGTCTGTTGTTAGTACCTAAAGTTACATGGAGCTCACCTGGATTTAAAGGGAGACTGGGCTTAAGCTATTTAGCTGTCTCAGCAAACTGTTGAGCACAATCCCCATTTAAGCCCTACTCAGTGAAATATAAGTCCTGGAAAGTGTACCCCAGAGTGAGGTAACCTATCAGATGATATGTCACATCTGGATCATCTCTGGAGTGATGCACATACTTCCTACAATCCAAGTTCTCCCCCTTGCATAAAGTAACTCTTTGCCGATTGAGGTGTAAACAGCAAGATCAAACCCCAAACCAGAGTGCCATGTCCTTTAGAGGGATTACTGCTATATGGACTTGAAGTGGTTCAGGATACTCCACTGATCATGGTAATCCTGCTGAGGGGACAGGGCAGGTTGGAGAGAGCTTCAGGTTAACCTCCAGTTGATGAGTGCTGGCTTGTGTTTAGATAGCTGGTCTTGACAGCTTGCTTCAATATTTGGGTTTCCAGTGTATAAAAACATGGGGATATACCATAGAAGAAAGGGGTTAGTGGATTACAACTGTTATATGATTTATAGCAGGGATAGCTTAAGGTCAAGAAATAAAAGGTCATCATGACTCACTGCCTGCGTAATTCTACTGCTTGAAGGAAGAATTGGCCATTTTGTGAAATGATTTCCAAAAGATATTATAGTAATAGTAATAGTCCGCTTATATGGCACTCATATCCAGGCACATTGCCTGCTCACGGCACTACGTACATTACGATATATGGCAGAATAAGTCCCCATTTATCAGTTTTAATGCCAACTTATGAATTTGATGATTACAGTGTGTGACCTTGGATGCTTGTGTGGCCCCATGGCAATAGATATTTGCTCATGTAATCAACCACTTGTTGCCAAGTCAAACAATTCATTTATTGAAAATCACTGTGATAAAGCTTGGGCACAAGAACACATTCACTCACATAGGTTTCTCAAGTATTAACTATTGTGCCTATCATGAGTGAGTATATTGCCATGTCCCTTTTAGCAATATTGGAGCATTATCACAGCAATGAATAAAAAATGGACCTCACACCTGTACCCAGTAGGGAATCAAACCCAGGTCTTCAATGTGCAGAGCCAACTCCTTGACCACTAGGCTATTATGAACATGTCTTTTACGAACACTGGTAAACAAGTCATGATCGTGTGGCCTCTGTGAGGTGGTACCCTTTAGAACAAGGAATGCCAGCCCAGGTGTCCAGAGAGTAACATGGGCATTCACAGTCTGAAGACAGACACCTACAGTGTCATGCCTTGACAACCTTTAGTCAGGTCAGTCTGAAGTACCATCAGGTCATCTGTACAGACGTCAGGTCAGCAGGAGTGCCTGTTTCACTAACTACTGTCTGGTGCTGGCATAATGTTTGTTTGTACCAAGACGTACTCCATATGGCCTTGACTGTTTGGGACTATCTTTGGCCTTGATGGTGTAATCCTGTTTTAAAGTCATTGGCCTATCTTATTGTGGATTGAATATTCAAATATCTTGTAAATCCCATGCTTAACATTTTTCAGTAACTCAAATTGTCAAAGAAAGGTTCCTTTATGAAAAAGTTTTGCAGGACATTATTTTGACATTGTAATCCCTTATCCACAAGTAGATGCCCTATTTCTTCATTTGGTCGGTTGCAATTGTAAAATAAGGCATACATCAACCCAGTGTGCGAAATAGTTTCCAAATTTTGCTGGCCAGTCGGACTAGCTATGCCTGAAAGTTACCAGCTTACAAAATAATTCACTAGCCCGAAATTTGAATGTAGAAAATTAGCAAAAGATTACAAAATAGATGAGAATAAGATATTGTCGGCATGACACAGGTTTCATCATTAAGCTGCTAATATGATGGACATTTTTATCAGGCCATAATCTTGCATGATATAAAAGTGAAATATAACTTAACAAGTTGGAGAGCGTGACATATTTACAAAATGACCTCATGAAAATTCACTAGCCAGTCGGGCCAGTGACTGTGGAGATTTACTGGCCCGTCTGGATTTTTCCTGGCCACAGGTTAGCAGGCCAGTGCCTGTTTTGCACACTGCATCAACCAGATTTTTGGGTGGGGAGTATGAACATTTTAGTTTTTTGGTGATCTGGTATTTATATGTAACTGTTGTACACATCACAACTATCTATTATTTGTATCTATCAAATTCTTATTGATTTGAAGATTATTTGTTTGCCTTTAACACTTGTATATTATTTATGATGAGAATACACCCTTCCCTTTCCAGACAATTGTATCCTTGCTTAAAGTTGAAGCAGTGCTTAGAAATGTGTTTCTTACCTTGCAGACCAATCTGTTGTTGCTGCACCATGCAGACCCCGTCATGGCCACCAAGGAACACAAAACTCCACTGGATCTCGCTTGCGAGTTCGGCAGATACAGGGTAGGTGTTGTTAGACTGGCACTTATAAATTTCTAAGGACATTATTATTTGGTACAAAGACTAACAAAGGGTTCATAAAAGATGGAATTGAACCTGGTGGCAAAGTGTCCATTGGAAGAGGTCATCGATCCAGCTAATCTAGATCTGGGGAAAGGGTTTGTGGAAGATGGAGTGGATCATGGTGGTAAGGTGTCTTGTAGGTGACACCATTGCTCATATGCAGCTAATCTAGATCTGGGGAAAGGGTTTGTGGAAGATGGAGTGGATCATGGTGGTAAGGTGTCTTGTAGGTGACACCATTGATCATATCCAACTTGTCCTGAATTGGGAAAGGGTTCATGAAAGTGGAATGGAACATGGTGGAAAGGTATCCAATGGTATGTAAGACATCAATGGTACCATTAGTCATATTCAACTAGTAAATAGCTCTTTTTTAATTGGAGCAGTGGGGTAGCCTAGTGGTTAAAGCGTTTGCTTGTCAAACCAAGACCTGGGTTCGATACCCCACATGGGTACAATGTGTAAAGCCCATTTCTGGTGTACCCTGCCTTGCAGTTGCTAGAATATTGCTAAAAGCGGCGTAAAACCTCACTCACTCACTCACTCCCTCACTCACTCACTCACTCACTCACTCACTCACTCACTCACTCACTCACTCACTCACTCACTCACTCACTCACTCTCACTCACTCACTCACTCACTCACTCACTCACTCACTCACTCACTCACTCACTCACTCACTCACTCACTCACTCACTCTCACTCACTCACTCTCACTCACTCACTCACTCACTCACTCACTCACTCACTCACTCACTCACTCACTCACTCACCTGGTCTGGGTCTAACCACGTGTGTGTACAACCATAGTTAATTCATCACATTATACACATGTTACATACTGCAGGCAGATGCAACATACACAGGTTGTCCAAGACAACAGTGTTCTAAAATCACGCTAATGGTAATAACTGAATGAAGCAAAGAAAATTTGTATAGAAAATAGTGTTTCCCTGAAGGGTGAGTATCTTTCAGTTACACTGACTGCCCTGTACTACATAGGCTGATGGAGATGGTGTGGTTCCCAGATACCGCTAGCTGTAGACCCACATAGATGCTTGGTACTCCAACATTGTAGGTCAAGTGTACCGTGGGGACAGACGTCCGATCAGTATATAACATTATGGTCCTCAGAGATTTATCAACACCGTCACTTATGATGTGATCATGATAATGCATTCTCTGGTGCTGATATATGTACATGTTTACCTGGCTGAAGATACGTCCTTTATCCTCTGATGTAGTAAACTTACGCTAACATCTAGTTTCAGAAATGAACATATTTTACAGAAAAAAACAGTTACTAAATTTTATAATCATTAAATAGAAAGAAAAGGAGACCTGAGACTTTACTTTTTTTCAGAAACTGTGGTAATCTATATTTGCCACATATTCTGGACTTGCATGGGCTTTCATGGATATATTTGTTTCAGGGTCTGTTTGACAGACTACAGAAAACTATGAATAAGTAAGTAAGTTGGGTTTTACGCCGCTTTTAGCAATATTAGAGAATATCACAGAGACACCAGAAATGAGCTTCACACATTCTACCCTTGTGGGGAATCGAACCAGGCCTTCTGTGTGATGGGCGAACGTTTTAGCCACTAGGCTACCCCACCACCCCTCAATAAACTATGGGGCGGTGGGGTAGCCTAATGGTTAAAGCGTTGGCTCGTCACGCCGAAGACCCGGGTTCGAATCCCCACATGGGCACAATGTGTGAAGCCCATTTCTGGTGTCCCCCGTCCGTGATGTTGCTGGAATATTGCTAAAAGCGGCGTAAAACCAAACTCAGTCAGTCAGTCAATAAACTATGAACATACATTTATGAACTGATGCATTTGACGAACTGTTGTTGGTGCCTGACGCCTGCTTTATATTTTAGTTGAAATGCAAGTAATGAACTACAGGTATAAAAAGACAAAATAAGGGTTCCCTTTGAGTTTGTTGTAACTGAACTTTACTGATAATTGAACTGAGATAGTTTGATATTGGGGAACTTAAACTGAAATCAATATTGTTAATAATGATCATTGTGAATGTTGAAGGTTCCAGAGTAATTACTGGAGGTCTGAAATACTGTTCAAAGCATTGTTAAACCCAACTCAACTATTGGCTTGCCAATACAGTAATTTATGTTAGATGTGGGGGAAAAAAAACAAACCCTGAAAGGGAAACACTGCCTAATTAACCTAAACAAGGGAGATAACCTTGTTGGACTAGTCATCTCCCCTTTACCTCAACTCAACCCCACCACACACACTCCCTTTCCAGGCAAATGATCAACTCTTGCCACCGCTTCACCTTGACTTAGCACCAGAGTTGTGTATCCTGATGCGGAGATAAAACACGTAAACAAACTAATCATTTTCCCTGGGGTCAACCTGTCAGTGATGGACATGAGTATGTGGAGGGAGCACCTGTCTGTGTCCATCCCCCCCATCTTCACACGTCTACCTGCAGTGTTGCCCCTCCGATGTAAGCTGTCATGCTCACTGCAGGTCAATGCTACTAACAGAACCTATTTAGATTTCATATCTGGCAAAACGGCTACATTGGCAAGAACAGTGATATCCGTCTTTCATCATGCAGTCCACCTGTAATGGTGGCCCAGCAATGTTAGCTGTCAAGCTCCTTGCAGGTCAATGACACGAACAGAAGCTATTTAGATATCTTCCCTAACAAGATTGGTAAATTGGCAAACAATATTTCATCAGAGCCGACACTTGCTGATTGAAGATGGACTTCCTACAGGTCACATTTCAGTGTTATCTCGGAGGAATTGGGGAAAATATATGGATGTCAGCTTCTGTATCAAGATAACACATAACATAGAGGTTGAAATCCATAAATTTTCCGCTTTAATGTGTATCACTTCTAAATGTCATTCATAGATTTCAATCTCAGAGGGGTTCTTAACTCACATACTCACTTTATTGGAGCAATGTGTGAAATATTTGCTGGCATTGTGTGGAAGGCTAGCCTTAAAAGTGACTAACCAGATTCAAATTTCATCAGCTTAGAACTGTCACAGTTTATTTGGTAACAGAACTTCTGATTGGTTAAACGACAAATTTCATCCAATCAAAACATGTTTGTTATACAAAGTGTTACAGTGACAACAGTAACTCTGACAAGATGAAAAGGTATGACTCTAATGTCACAGCACCAGTTTGATGAATAGAATCTGATTAAGACACTGGGAGTATATCAGTAGGTATTTAGAAGTTGAAGTGATATATCTACATGATCACGTGATTACTTCCAAATTTGATATGGCTGTGCAGGGGGTGATCTTTCTTGTTTTGGGGCTGAACATGTTGTCCTGTCGACGTTCAGTTATTTATGGTTGCCATGATGTCGCTTGAATATTGCTGCCTATAGGGTTTAACAGCAAACAAACAAACAAAATTATAAAGAAAAAGATTCATCTGAAACATTTTGAAAAAATCTGTAAGTAATTACTCCCAGCTCTGGCAAATAGAAATTCATCATGTCTGTCTGTCTGAGGTGAAGCATTTCTTCTCCAACGTCATGTTTTTAAAGACATTTTTAGATGTAATTGATACCTAATAACCGTATCCACCTCATGTCTTAATGTAAGTTTAATAGGATAGTGATAAAGTCGAACAATCCGGAAATGTCATTTATGAAACCAAAACAACTTTAATCTTATCCACGAATCTGTTGGAAGAAAAGAAAGTTGAGTCTTACATGGTGATGCTCAACAAGAGTGAGAAGTAGGGCTATGGAAAGTAAACAAAACCTTGAGTATTGTTTACGGACATCACTCCGTTGAAGGGCTTAACACTGCAGGGGCCCATTCATCTGTCACCTAGGAATGCTGGGACATTTTGCAGCAATAAATCTTCTTTTCAAATATGTTGTTGTAGATTACACTGTATATTTAAGGAGGAGAGGTGAAAGTGAGTTTAACGTCGTGCTTGAGAATATTTCGCTCATATGACGACGTGCATGCGTGTGTATGTGTATGTGCAGCTGCTTGTACTAGCCCAGACTTAAGCTGGTTTTATAGTGCTAGCCCACTGAGATACCATGCCGCAGTGAAGCATGAATACCCCACTCAGACACATTATACTGATTCCGAGCCGACCAGTCCTTGTTGTACACAGTAATGCCGAGCGCCAGGCAGGGACCAACAAGTACCATATTTTAACGTCTTTTGGTATGACGCGGTTGGGGATCGAACCCGCGACCTTCCGCTCTCCGGGATGGATGCTCTAACCACTACACCACGGAGGCGGTCGTATATTTAAGGAAGGGGAATGAACTGAGTTTATGGTGTTTGTGCCTATGTCCATTTAGCCTATGATATTGAGATGTTCTCTTCAGTAGCTTCTTACAAAGGTGTTGGAAACCAGTTTTCTGTGATATGATGATGCTATGACTGTATAGAATTATCTTTTGGAACATATGGTTTGAAGGGCTGATGATAAACATTTGTGTTTTGGCTTGGTACGTTAGAAAATCGAAATTTAGATTTAAACTATTAAGTTCTAAATAAGAATTGACCAAATACATGAGGGTTGTCTCTTGTATCTGTTAACTTAGGAAGAGAACCAAACTGGTTTAGAATTACATTCAAGCATATGTTACTGAGAAAATGCTGGACACCCTGTACTGTTTCAACAGCACAGTGTAAGTGTACATTCAGTGGCGTGGACATTTTGTCTTGAGTCTTGATGGAGCGGTGTGGCAGCCTAGTGGTTAAAGCATTCGCTTGTCACACCGAAGACCCGAGTTCGATTCCCCACATGCTTACAATGTGTGAAGCCCATTTCTGGTGTCACCTGCTGTAATATTGCTGTAATATTGCTAAAAGGCAAAAAGCGGCGTAAAACCATACTCACTCACTCACTCACTCGTCTTGATATCCACTTCTGTATTTGTTAACATATGTTTTGGAGTTACTTCTTACTCCTTTTTCATTCACCTGAATAAGGAGGACAATGTAATTAGATTACATGAATAATTACTTGAAATAGACCCAGCAACACACACAACCAGTTTGCGACTTATTTTGTTGATGGCAGCGTTGCCCTTTACATTGGATACACTGGATAATATTTTATGTTGGTTAGTTCTTCAATGTAGTCACGTGATTTTATGTTGATGAACTACGCTTTCAAATCGGGCAGATGCCTAGTCAGGTTGACAGCCAACATGACATGGTCAACTACGCCTTGCAAATCAGTGTTTTGATGGTATAATATTGCACAGTTGCACATTGATGCAAGCATTGTGTCTGTGATTAGTCTGTGACTGATGTGTGTTGTTGTTGCAGGTGGTGGAGATGTTGTTGCGGAACAACCTGTGTCTGAAGCTGCTGGAGGTGAATGAGAAGGACCTGGGAGACAACAACCAGACGACATGCATGCACCTCGCTGCCAGGAACGGCCATGTTGACATCATCACGTAAGTAGTAGATACTCAGGTACTTGGTGCAGCAGTCTTTCAGTTTCAGGTTGATTCTTTCCTGAAACTAGCCTCTTGACATTTACATAGGATACCAAACCAAGTGCCTTTGGCAAGCAGTTTGAAGAAGTTGGTGTTGTTTTAAATTGGATGTTTTAAAAGTTCATTTGTCGTGAATACAACTCACCTTGGCCAAGCTGACTGATTACTTGTAATCATATGAGCTTCCTTGTGGAAATGTGTAATTCCCATTGGGCAGTTATTACTGACATTTGCTGCAGACTTGCTGGGGCTGGGCATCAACCACTGCCTACGTGTATATAATCCCTGCTACCCTCTGAGGATTCTATATAGCTGAGGAAATAACAAATTATGTCTTTGGGGTTTTTCCAATCAATCTTCCAAAGGTCTGGATGTAATAACTTTCTTAAATGAATTAATTTTCATTTTGATACTTTGGTAGATACTACCTCATAAAATGTCAGTGAATACATGGTTTAGTTATATTAGATTTTGTTCTCTCCCTCCCTTTCCTCTTTCTCCTTAACATTCACCCTCCATCTATGCCATGGATAGTTGCTCATTATCAACCTCCTGGTAATGGTGTGTTTTGCCAAGCCTCAAATCCAAGGGCCACCTTAGCAGTAGCAGCAATGCTGCCCAAATTGACTAAGAAAAGCTTTCACTGACTCACTGAACTCTTGTGGAACCTGATTTAGTTTGACCTCACTCAGTTTGCGTCTGCTAGTGGTTTTCTGGACTCATTCTTGATGATGATGGCAGAGGCCAGTCTTTCATCTTAAGTTGCAAACACTTTGTCGCTAATTACATGGCTCAGTATGGCAGCCATTTCCAGATTAGAAATCATGTCAAGTCTTTTAGTAATCTGTCTTATTATTGCTGCATATTTGGAGGCAGTTATCACATTCGTTGCTTTATCGTGTAGTAGTAGTAGCGAAGTAGAGGAAACACCCAAGGACATCTGTTGGTCTTCAAGATATCTGGTAATGGTCAGCTTGTAAGTGTTTCATATCATCTTGTCACCTCACCTCCATTGGTGCCCGATAGGCTCAAAGGCCAGGAAGCATATCGGTCATAAAGCTATCTGCAGTTCCAGTTCCCTGGACTCCATTCCTGTCTGGCCTCTGAACTTACTATCAGGTGTGGATCCTATAAGAGTGTGCTAATGTGTTAGACATACCGTTATGCTGAGGCCCAGCTTGGGTGGCACCGGTTCTGCTGTGTGTTAGGTGAACTAGTGTATGTATGTATCTGTGAAGTATGTCAGTCAATGGAGGATAAGTATAACAGGTAGTGGGATGAAACGTGATGAAGTATCAGATATGTGGTTATTAAGCAGTGGGGGTCCTTCAACTGGTGAAAGACATGGCTATACAAGATAAGTGAAGTTAGCTTATTCTTGTAGGTGTACATATTTGGTTACGAGGTACAGATATCCCAGTCATTCACACCCTTGAAGATGTGGGTTAGAATTGGTCTACAGCAAGCCATGCCTGCTGTAAGAGGCATCTAACGTCATTGCAGCCCAATTGTGTAGATCGATGCTTATGCTGTTAATCACTGGTCCAAACTCGATTATTTACAGACTGCCGCCATATAGCTGGAATATTGCTGAGTGCAGCGTTAACCCCTTGGGTGCCACAGGGACATATATGTCCTTCCCCTTCAACCCTCAATTTGAAGTCCAATAAAAATCAAAATATCCCACGCACACAAATACACTTCACAATTTCGAATTCTGTGGGAAATTTCCTGTTTCTTGATACCATCCACTATTATTTTAGACAAAGCTCAAGTGCTGAAAATGACCTTTCAAAATAGGCTTCATCGAAAATGTTGCCGCGATTCACAGCGCGATTTGCTAGATGTTTTGAAATGTGAAAATCAGATAATTACTGGGAGCATTGAATTTCAAAAAATAACATATTCATGATCACTGATATCAGTTTTACATGAAATCGCTAATGATAATGCTGAAACGTTGCAGATGAATCTAGAATCGGTTGGGATGTTTTCGAAAATACACTACAACACAAACGCCAGTGAGCGCTTTCCGCCAAATTGGATAGTGTTTACAAAATCATGTTTCGCTAAGGCCGTATTGAGACGCCTATTACATCATGTATATTTCATATTCAGCTCCGAAAAATGCATCACTGAACTCCCCATACATTTTAGAATCAAATTGCAACTGGTCTTTGTCACCAATACCAACTGTCTAGATAAAATGAGATGAAATATACTGGGTGTGAAAACGAACGCTGTGCTCGAAAGACTGCCCTTGTTTGAAATGTAAACAGAGACAAATTCGATTTTACACTGCGTAGCATTTTCTGAAATTTTCCAACATTCATCCGTCTATTCATTGCTTGCAATGGCTCAATACCTTTGTAATATGCATGGGAAGAGTATCGTAGCAAGAAATTGGAAATTATAAATAGATACAATGCAATCATTTGATAATTCATAAGAAATTGTCAAAGTTTGCGTGCAGTGTGACGCCATGACTGAACGACAACGGTAATTATCTGCATTTCTAGCTTCTTCTCTTATTTATAATGAAAACGATAAAAACATATAACAATACACAGATAGTCAGAATCATTCTGATTACTTACATCTCATATTTATGTACAAACAATCCCTGAATCAATGGAAGGGTCCTCGCAAAATCCTGTGTACCCTTGTCAGCAAAGCCGCCATTTTGTAAGCAATCGGTCAACGGTAGTGATGTCATCGTCCACATTGTTGTACATATTAGGCAATTTCTCTGAGGTGAAGGTCGGTTGAACAAGAGTAAACACAATCGCCCAATCCTTCCGATTACACTGTCAGTATTATGATGTATATTTTGCGTATAGTTCAGATACTTTTTCATGAAACTGACTTCAGTATCTACATTTAGCCTTGTTCAATATCATATCATACGTGCATATAGGGTTTACGGTGTTTTATTCTTTGAAAGTTTTTGATTGTTTGAATAATTTTTACATTTTGACACATTTAGTGCAGTACACCATATTCTAAACCATTACACAAGTGTTAGAAGATCAAACATAGCCATAACTGCAACTACTTTCCTATGATGTACTTTAGTTCCTATGATGTAGAATATTCAATGCATTAATATTGGGACTAACTATTGCAGTTTCATATGAACAGGTTCATGAACAGCGATTTAATTCAACCTTATAAGTAAAACCCTTCCAGTGCTTTTATTGGTGCGCGATAAAATGCGGAGAAATTTACTGTTTTTTAATGCATAACAAAAATTTGGACAACATTTAGCAAGGTCTATTTCTCAAACCGTCGAGGTAGTTGCACTCATATTTATACCAACGGATAGGAAATTTAATATTCTACATTTCTGTGTAATTTTATAGCCTTACGTAGATCCAGGACCACGCGAGCTCAAATCTCGCACAACGTTCACATTTCAAACGGTATGAAAATGTACGCCTGAAAAAAAACTCGGCATCCAGGGGGATAAGTAACAAACCAACCATCCAACCAAACCCAGTCATTCAACATGGGTCAATTCCTTCTGGTAGATTTGATTCTGCACTTGGTTACTATGTCTGAAATACATTTTTTGACATCCTTGGATATTGCTAAAAGCAGTGTAAAACCCAAGTCTGACCTTGTACGTAACTCACAATCAACCCACCCTTAGGATTAAAAGAGTTACTTCTGAGAAACTACACATGAAGATTTGGTTAGAATTGGTCTTCAACAACCCATGCTTGTCCCAACATGATGTTGATCACTGTATTGTCTGGTCTAGACTTGATTATTTACAGACCACCACCACATAGCTGGAATATTGCTGAGCGTGGCGTTAAACAACAAACAAACTTCTGAGAGACAAAACAAGAAAGTATTTTTGAAGTACATATTTGAATAAAAGTGAGTGAGTCAGTTGGGTTTTACTCTGCTTTTAGCAACATTCCAGCAATATGGGACACCAGAAATGGGCTGCAATATTCCAGCAATATGGGACACCAGAAATGGGCTGCAATATTCCAGCAATATGGGACACCAGAAATGGGCTGCAATATTCCAGCAATATGGGACACCAGAAATGGGCTGCAATATTCCAGCAATATGGGACACCAGAAATGGGCTGCAATATTCCAGCAATATGGGACACCAGAAATGGGCTGCAATATTCCAGCAATATGGGCTGCAATATTCCAGCAATATGGGACACCAGAAATGGGCTGCAATATTCCAGCAATATGGGACACCAGAAATGGGCTGCAATATTCCAGCAATATGGGACACCAGAAATGGGCTTCACACGGTGTGTCCATGTGGGGAATCGAACCCGGATCTTCAGTGTGAAGATCGAACGTCTTAACCACTTGGCTACCCCACCACCCCTTTCAATAAAAGCTTTCCTTTGGTATATATCAGTATACTTATATGTATCTGAGGTACATTCTATCAGTACCTGTCAAGACCCTAACCCTGTCAGATTCACTGTCGCTGCAAGTACACATGCTCCTTACATGGCTTATGTCATCTCCACAAGCCATATCGTGGCCAGCACTATAGATAGGATATCACAAACTCCACACAGCCTTCCTCAGCAGCCTGGTTTGAGTGGAGCATCCTTTTTCCTGCCTGAGATAGCTATGTTTATTATTTCCTTTCGATAAAAAGGTCAGGCTGAAAGAAGTTCACCCAGGAGAATTTTTTTTGGCAAATGTTCCTCTATTGAATATTGACATTCAGGCATTACAGTAAGTGGAGCAAAGGGAGGATGTTTTGATTGGCTGGTAATGGATGTCATAACCTGATGTTTGTGGAGGAAGGCTGTACACACCTGTCTTGCACTGCTGGGAAGGCACATGCAATTTTCTCTTTGAAATTTTTGTGTGGACTTCCTGAAAAATGGTTTATTGCTGATAGGATGGGGTAAATGGCATAGAATCTGAAGTGTTTCAGACTACGGTAGTTAGGATATCTTTGGTTTCTTCTATAACAGAAAGCAGCTGGAGTAAATAGAGAAATTTTGTTGATAAATGAATTAATGGAAGTTAAATTGAACAGCTGTTTCTTATCCTTCCTATATTTCTGATCATATGTCCCTTTTTTTATTAAAACAAAAAAAGTCAGTTTGTTTTACAACTCAAAGGAGGGATGGGGCATAACCTAGTGGTGAAATGGTAGAAGTAGTGGAAAACCCAACCGCACTCACTCACTCACTCACTCACACATCGGTTCCCAATTGCGCAGATCGATGCTCATGCTGTTCATCACTGGATTGTCTGGTCCAGACACGATTATTTACAGACCACCACCATATAGCTGGAATATTGCTGAGTACGGCGTAAAACTAAACTCACTCACTCACTCACTCAGGCATAATTCCACAAACACAGCGCAAAAGTACTACATATTCTGAAAATGTTTGACTAAATTATTGAATCTGTTTCAGGTTATTGCTACAGACTGGAATGGATATCAACAGGTCCACGCTGAACGGCACGTGTCTACACGAAGCAGCTCTGTATGGCAAGATCGAGGTGGTCAAGTTGCTGCTTGATGTGAGTATGACCAGCTGTATATTTTGTCCTGTTATTGCAGGAATCATTTTGGTCCATGAACGTGTGCCATATGCACATTTAAATATGAAATGACAACATCAGGGGCCCTTATGGCGAATATTAATCCAAAATGGAGAAAAAGATTTAGCACTCAGACCCAATTAAAAAAAATCTTACAACAATGTAGAACATTCGGAATATATCAAATTATCACATATGGAATTGTCTAATAACAGTAAAGGTTTTCTGATTGCACTGCACACAACTCAAAACTGGGACACAGTGCCCACAGTGCCCAATCAGACAGACCCATGGCTAAGGTCTAGGGCCCCATTCGCAGAAAGTCTAAAGTGATCCCTCTTAATGCAGTCAGCGATATTTCCAGCTTGAATCAGACACAGATATTTAATGCCTGAATCAGACAGACCCATGGCTAATCAGACAGACCCATATCTAGGTCTAGGGCCCCATTCGCAGAAAGCCTAAAGTGATCCCTGTAAATGCAGTCAGCGATATTTCCAGCTTGAATCAGACACAGATATTTAATGCCTGAATCAGACAGACCCATGGCTAACCAGACAGACCCATATCTAGGTCTAGGGCCCATTCTAAGAGAAAGCATAAAGTGATCCCTGTTAATGCAGTCAGCAATATTTCCAGCTTGAATCAGACACAGATATTTAATGCCTGAATCAGACAGACCCATGGCTCACCAGACAGACCCATATCTAGGTCTAGGGCCCCATTCGCAGAAAGCCTAAAGTGATCCCTGTTAATGCAGTCAGCGATATTTCCAGCTTGAATCAGACACAGATATTTAATGCCTGAATCAGACAGACCCATATCTAGGTCTAGGGCCCCATTTGCAGAAAGCCTAAAGTGATCCCTGTTAATGCAGTCAGCGATATTTCCAGCTTGAATCAGACACAGATATTTAATGCCTGAATCAGACAGACCCATGGCTAATCAGACAGACCCATATCTAGGTCTAGGGCCCCATTCGCAAAAATTACTAAAGTGATCCCTGTAAATGCAGTCAGCGATATTTCCAGCTTGAATCAGACACAGATATTTAATGCCTGAATCAGACAGACCCATATCTAGGTCTAGGGCCCCATTCGCAGAAAGCCTAAAGTGATCCCTGTTAATGCAGTCAGCGATATTTCCAGCTTGAATCAGACACAGATATTTAATGCCTGAATCAGACAGACCCATGGCTAACCAGACAGACCCATATCTAGGTCTAGGGCCCCATTCGCAGAAAGCCTAAAGTGATCCCTGTTAATGCAGTCAGCGATATTTCCAGCTTGAATCAGACACAGATATTTAATGCCTGAATCAGACAGACCCATGGCTCACCAGACAGACCCATATCTAGGTCTAGGGCCCCATTTGAAAGCCTAAAGTGATCCCTGTTAATGCAGTCAGCTATTTCCAGCTTGAATCAGACACAGATGCCTGAATCAGACAGACCCATATCTAGGTCTAGGGCCCCATTTGCAGAAAGCCTAAAGTGATCCCTGTTAATGCAGTCAGCGATATTTCCAGCTTGAATCAGACACAGATATTTAATGCCTGAATCAGACAGACCCATGGCTAACCAGACAGACCCATATCTAGGTCTAGGGCCCCCATTCGCAGAAAGCCTAAAGTGATCCCTGTTAATGCAGTCAGCGATATTTCCAGCTTGAATCAGACACAGATATTTAATGCCTGAATCAGACAGACCCATGGCTAACCAGACAGACCCATATCTAGGTCTAGGGCCCCATTCGCAGAAAGCCTAAAGTGATCCCTGTTAATGCAGTCAGCGATATTTCCAGCTTGAATCAGACACAGATATTTAATGCCTGAATCAGACAGACCCATGGCTAATCAGACAGACCCATATCTAGGTGTAGGGACCCCATTCGCAGAAAGCCTAAAGTGATCCCTGTTAATGCAGTCAGCGATATTTCCAGCTTTATCCTGTTGTTAAGTCTGGACCAGACCAGGAAGTGGTTGATATTATGAACAACATACCACGCCACCAGGATAAGATGACTTTCAGTCAAGTAGCATGACCATTAGTTCACTTCTCCTCATAGAACAAACATTGTTTACTAGGTACCAACTCCATGTGGCAGTCCAGTGATATGTTAAAATAGCCTTTATCGCCCATCCCAGCTATATTCATTACAGTCTCAGGAGGCTGTGGAGTGTGTTTGGGCCTGAATCAGACAGACCCATGGCTAATAGGAAGGACTTCTATCCAGGGTCGAACAGCAGTTGTTCAATTCATCATCTATAAGTGCCATACAGTATTTAGATGAAGATCATCATTACACAGGCTGATTTGTAAGACTTAGCAGCTCATTTAATGGAGTTGTATGCTGGTTGTTGGTTTGAATTGCAGCCTCTCTACATCATCCCTTCTTTTTCCAGCAGCTTTGCTGTGTTTTGGGACTTAACTTCTTCCCACTTTGACAGAAGTGATGTAACTGACATATTGTTGAAGCCTCAGTACATGTACTTCTAATGCAGACTTTGTTGAAGACAAGTTGCAGTTTTCATCCATTTAAGTGGCATGTTTAGAAGTTGGAGAATCAGATAAGGACAAAACTTTATGGATGAACAACTTCTTTACTTGGATGATGTGACATTTCGATACAGATTCTTGTATCGTTTGTCAAGCAAGTATCGTTGTCATACTTGCTTGACAACAATACAAGAATCTGTATTGAAATGTCACATCATTCGAGTAAAGAAGTTGTTCATCCATAAAGTTTTGTCCCTATCTGATTCTCCAACTTCTAAACATGCCACTCAAAGAAATTCTAACACTTGTATTCAGAAAGGATATATCTGTTGTCAGTATTAAGGCAGTTGGTTAAGCTCAAGTCTAGTCTGACTGGAAGATGAGGCACTAGACAGTATTCCACTCAATTTACAGAGCATGTTATGAACATTTGTTGCCTTGTCATCTCAAGAGATGCAATTTGCTATGCAGAGTTAATTCTCTTGGGTTGAGAGAAACCTGTGATCAAGGATCATATGATTCAAACTGATTATGTCTCTTGGTTTGTTTCTTGGGGTTCACCAAAGTTAAAAATGTCCAGGACTTTCATTAGTTCAGGCTTACATACCACAGCAAACTGACACCTATTGGTAATACCAGTCTCACTCTCTCACTCACTCACTCACATACTCATTCACTTTTATGTAGAATTAACAAATATTGTGATTACAGTAACTTCCAGAACTGTCAATGGGCTTGAGTATTTAAAGAGAATGGCCTTTTTACATTGTCCAGCATGACAAAAAGTTCAACTAAACAATATGGATTTGATTTAGTAAAATCTGGCTATGGTTACGACTAAATTGCTCTCCACAGTCTCATAACACCCCCACATTTCCTGGACTTCCTACCTGCATGGCCACCACCATGCTTCAAAGCCACATCAGCCTAGTTTTTAGGGAGAATTCACAAGTTTGAAAAATATCCTGTTTACAGGGCGAAACTAATGGTGAAATCATGTCAATCTCCTGTAAACGTGTGTTACAATATGAAAAGGTTGCAACCTCCACAGGTGGTTGATATTACTGGGGATCCGTCTACTCTCGACTGACAAAACAATAGACGTGAACCCTCCATTCAACCACCTCGGTAAGGCTTATGTTCTTCGACATGGCTGCCATTGCTTTCCCCCCTGAGGCCAGTGATGAGCAGATGCCTTTTGTTAGGACCAGAGAGCTGTCGGGAGCCTTGTTCATTTAGACAGTAGTAATAGATAGGAAGTATTTCACACTGTCCAAACATGTGATACACAGTATATTGATGTGATACCGTACATGGGTTTGCTTGTGATATGTTTTTGTAGTGCTTTAATGGATGGGTTTATCATTACTGATAAGGTGATGGTGTCTTCTAGAGTCGTCCTGCAACAGGTGTCGAATAAACACTGAAATCCTCTCAATATGTCTTCAGCTGTTATCATGTAAAAATGGCCTTCAAATTAACTCTGGTTTGCAGGCCATGGTGTCTTTTATTTGAGTTTGTTTTAAATCGTATTATTGAAGTGTTAGTTATAGAATGGAATGTGTGATCTGGTGATATTTGGTTTAAAAACGTCTTTTACTGGAATATTGCATCCTATTGTAAAAAGAAAATGAGTACAGTTCATCCTATTCGATGCACAATGATATCTATTTCAGTAATCAACACTTTTGAAACAAGCTCAGTCGTTGAAAGCATATTGGCTTCTTTGTAGTCAGTTAGAATCATCGTAGTCAGACTTAAGTTGAGGTTAACAACAGTCCTTCAGCAGTTTTGGGGGCGGTGGGGTAGCCTGGTGGTTAAGGTGTTTGCTCATCATGCCAAAGACCTGGGTTTGATTCCCCACATGTGCACAATGTGTGAAGCCCATTTCTGGTGTCCCCCACCTTGATATTGCTTGAATATCACTAAAAGCAGTGTAACACTACACTCAGTCACTCACTCAGTTTTTAGATGGTAGCTGATGGATTTTTTTGCACAATGAGTTCAGTATTAAATGTAGTCATCATTTTCATGATGGGTTGCATAAACTGTTATGTTATCCTTATGAGCACTAAACTGTAAATAACGGCCCCCAAATGTTGAAATTTTTTCAACATAAAGTAAACCTACAACTTAGTTCATTCTTTATGGAACCATCACATGTTGATAAACTTCATACATCAATAAACAAGATCTGATCACATGTATACTGCCATTGCTTGCCTCTCAAGATCAATGCAAAGAGAAAACTAATTGACTTTTTAGTTTCCCAACTGTTTTTATTTTTTTTAAATGTTTTGACAAGACCCCCTATATCAATTCCATGTATCCATGTGGAAGTGTACTGAATCATCTGAATATAATCCTTGTGGAAACACAGTTCTAAAGCTGGAACAGGCCTAGAGTTTAGATGTAAGATAGGGAAGATGAGAGGAGGTATGATCGGGGTTGTTGCGGAGTCAGATGAACGCTAGCCATTCCT